GCCTGTAATCCCAGCTACTCAGGAGGCTGAGGCAGGAGAATTGCCTGAACCCAGGAGGCGGAGGTTGCGCCGCGGTGAGCCGAGATCACGCCATTGCACTGCAGCCTGGGTAACAAGAGTGAAACTCCATCTCAAAAAAAAAAAAAAAAGTATCATTTACTGCAATGGGAATGAGTCACTTTTGTGTTCCTCAAAATGGACAGATTCCTTGAGTGGAATTAAATAGTTTCTGCAAAGCAGGCTCAGATGTCTCTGAAGAAAGCAAACAACAATGGAGCCAGAATAGCCCCAATATTAGTCCTGATTGATTGGCCTTGTAATGGCCTCAGCAGAAGCAATTTGTTGGCATGAAGTCAGAGCGCAATTGTTGAAAGACTGAAGGTTGGGATTAATGATATGAGTGAAACATAATTACCATAAGGAGTCAGTTAAAGGGAGGCTGCCTTGTAAAGTTTTTCAAAGGACAGCTATGAAATTTTTGTCAGCAGGGTTGTTAGATTCAGAGTGGCAGCAATGATCTGGAAAAAAAAGTACAAGAAAATTTTGTTTTCTACTAAGTGGTAGATGGAGAACATAAGAGGTCAGACGTAATAGGATGAGGGCCAGGTACAGTGGCTTGTGCCTATAATCCCAGCTACTCGGGAAGCTGAGGTCGGAAGATCACTAGATCCCACGAGTCTGAGGGTGCAGTGAGCTATGTACAATCACCTATGCAGGTGATTGAGCTATGTACCTATTGAGCTATGTACAATCGGCTGTGTACAATCACCTAAGCTATCCACCTCTGAAGTCAGTGTCTTCTGGAGCATGCCTAAAAATCTCAGTTTAACATTTCCAATGGCATGGGTGTCCAGTACTCAGGAGGAAATATTGTGTCTCTTTTAAGCTAGGAAATAATTAACCCAAGGATCCATATTTTGGAGTGTTACTGCTGGGTCAATTACTAACAATATCTGATGAGGTCCATTTTGTCAAGTCTCAAAGGCCGGTCTTTTTATCTCAGGTCTTTTCCAGAACACTAAATCTCTTGTTGTGAATCACAGGTGAGTGGTTTGGTACAATCCACTGCGCTCTAGCCTGGGCAACAAAGTGAGACCCTGGCTCTTAAAAAAAAAAAAAAGTAATAGGATGAAAATACGGAAGTTAACTGATATTTCACATGACTTCGAGGTAGAATAATAGCCAAGAAAGGGTGTTGAATGTTAATCTTTATCCAAAGTGCCGGGCAGAAACTATCCACCTCTGAAGTCAGCATCTTCTGGAGCAAGCCTAAGAATCTAACATTTCCAATGGCATTGGTGTGTAGTGGTCAGGAGGAAATATTGTATCTCTTTTAAGCTAGGAAATAATTAACCTAAGGATCCGTATTTTGGAGAATTACTGCTCGGTCAGTTACTAACAATATCTGATAAGGTCCATTTCATCGAGTCTCAAAGGCCGTCTTTTTATATCAGGTCTTTTCCAGAACACTAAATCTCTTGTTGTGAATCATAGGTGAGTGGATTGGAAATGTAGATCATATCTGTTGATGATAAAGCTGAAGGTATTCTATGACTCCCTGGCAGTTCTTAATCATATTTCATTATAATTGTAATAGAGCCAAATCTAAGATTGGTGGTGAAATTTTCAAATACATGGATGGGCCATTTTTCTTTTTCCTTTTTTTAGAGACAGGGTGTTGCTATGTTCCCAGGCTGGAGTGCAGTAGCTATTCACAGGTGCAGTCACAGTGCACTACAGCCTCAAACTCTTGGCATCAAGCAATCTCCCACCTCAGCCTCCTGAGTAGCTAAGACTACAGACACGAACCACCACACCCAGCTTGGCCTCGTATTAATTCATAAGGAGGTCACCTGTGGGTCCCAGAAAGGGTTGATCTTGTACACACTGAAGCTAAAGGTAAGATTTTTTTTTTCAATTTGAAAGCAGGTACTGTTTATTAACTGACCAGCTTAGCAAAATAATCATGGAAGACAGTCTTCTAATAAACCTGTTGATCTGGTTCTCCCTGTTGCCAGAATCTCCACCTTCTACAAAATAGGTGGTCTTTTTCTTCATTCTGCCCCGTGGAGAAGATAATTTGAAGGGCCACAGGAAGTTACTTGCTTCTTTTTTTTTTTTTTAATTGAGATGGAGTCTCATTTTGTCACCCAGGCTGGAATGCAGTGGTGCAATCTTGGCTCACTGCAACATCCGTCTCTGGGGTTCAAACAGTTCTCCTACCTCAGCCTCTCAGGTAGCTGGGATTACTGGCACACACCACCACGCCTGGTTAATTTTTGCATTTTTAGTAAAGACGAGGTTTCACCACGTTGGCCAGGCTGGTCTCGAACTCCTGACCTCAGGTGATCCACCCACCTTGGCCTCCGACAGTGCTGGGATTACAGGCGTGAGCCATTACACCTGGCCTATTTGCATCTTTGAAGCATTTCCCAACAGTATAGAGAGCATCAAATAATCTCTTTATGCCATGAACACCCAAACTTTTCCCACTTCCAAATTTTTTCACTTTTCTACTTTTTGGAATCAAGGGTTTGCTCTGACAGTTAAAAATGGCCTCTTTGAATCCTCCGAGACCCCTCTTTTCTGTATAATTGCAGGAGCACTGATCTTGGTGAATGCTTCTTGGGTTAGCATAGCGGTCAGTTAAAGTATTACTAGAAATTCTAGGTCTTTGTGCGTTGAACGGTGGTCTACTTTTATTACAGCTATTTCCTTAGGTAACAGCAAAGCAGTTGGCAGTTTTATTTTTAACCTGTCATCCAATTTTTGGAGGTTTTTGTGGAGGTTAGAAAACCCTTCATTTCCAAAGCATTTCAAAGTCACAGACTCCCTAAAAGTGCATCTGCCATTAGTGTATATGCTTACTCTTTTACATTTTACCAGCCAGCATACCCAGATGAGGGCAATTATTTTAGTCATTGGGGCTGATTTAATTTCTGGAGAGGTCTCTACTTTAAGGGTGAATTTAGGTCTGTGATAGCATTTTTAAATATGAACAAATAAAATCAGGTCAGGGATATCCAAGGGAATTTCTAACAAGACATTTTAAGAATATGTGAAAAACACTGTGAGTTAACAGAATAATTTGGTGAAAAAAAGAACCTCCAGTAATCTGGGTATAAAACAACTGAGTCATTTTACATGGCAGAGCCAAATCCTAATTTTACTCCTATAGTACATCATTTTCTAATAGATTTTAATAAAGACTCTATTAATATTCCTTTATTTGTATGCATTTAGGTATACAAACATATATAAATACATAAATAAGTAATAAAGCCTTTTTTTAAGTTGTAATAAAAACACTTAAAGTGAGATCTACTTGTTACCGGTGGAGGGTGTTCAGGTTCTTGGAGTTTGGAACAAAAAATTGGACAGAATGCACAAACAAAGCAAGGAGAGAATGAAGGAACAAAAGCAGAGATTTGTTGAAAATGAAAGTGCACTTCACAGGGTGGGAGCAGGCGAGCATAGGGCTTCAAGAACCTGGTTACAGAATCTTCTGGGGTCCAAAGACCCGCTAGAAGTTTCCCATTGGCCATTAGGTGTTTGCCCCATGCAAATGAATAGTGGACTACAATCAGTCTGATTGGTTGAGGACAGCAACCAATCAGAGGCTGAAGTGAAGTTACATAGTTACACTCCTAGGCAAATATCTGATTGGTTGCAACTGTCAATATTCTATCTGCAGAGCAGAAAAGCAGGGGGGTTTGCAAAGGGAGTAGCCTCTGGTCCTTCTGTTACTTAAGTGGGGAAAGTTAGGATTTTCCTTTGGATTTGGTTCTAGGAAGTCAGCGTGAATCGGCCTTAGATTCCCTGCCCAAACCCTATTCTCCTGCCTCATACTCTCTTAACAAATTTTTAAGTACACGGGTACACAGTATTGTTAACTATGAGCACAGTGCGGTACAGCAGATCTTTAGAACATGTTTATCTTGTATAACTGAAACTTTATACCTCTTGAATAGCACCTCTTCATTTTGTTACCAAAACACCTGGGATTCAGTCTGGGTCCTGCTGTTTGCTGCACAGAGAGCCAGTTGGTCAGTACTGTGCACAGAGTAAGTGCTTGATAAATGTACCCCATCTTTGGCCTATGCCAGGCTCTGTCCCTTCATAGCTGTTAGACCTCTGCAGCTGATATTTGGGTTTATGAGTTCTCACCCAGGATCCCCCACAGCTCTGATATTTTCTTTCTTTCTTTCTTTTTTGTTTTCAAGACAGAGTCTTGCCCCGTTGCCCAGGCTAGAGTGCTGTGACATGACCTTGGCTCACTGCAACAAGACTCAAGCAATCCTCCCATCTCAGCCTCACAAGTAGCTGGGAATACAGGCATATATCACTATGCCTGGCTAATTTTTGTGTTTTTTGTTGAGATGAGGTTTTGCCATGTTGCACAGGCTGGCCTAGAACTTCTGGCCTCAAGTGATCAACCTGCCTTGGCCTCCTAAAGTGCTGGGATTACAGGCGTGAGCCACCATGCCCAGCCCAGCACTGATATTTTCTGAGATTTGATCTCATACTTGGCTGCAGGCTTTTTACCTAATTCCTTTGAGAACAATCCTGCCTCTGCTACATTTGGCCAGCCTTTGGAAGGGGTCTCCAGCTCTCTGCCAGCCACCTCACCCTACTCAGACAGAGGGCCCAACTCTACCTCAAACCAGCGGAGGTGGAAAGGAGTCTTTCTTCCTGCTGTTTGTCTGAAGCTGCAGGTCATCCCTAAGTGCAAGTAGCAGTCTAGGTGCCCCTGCACCCTGGACCACCCTTCTCCCTGGCCTCTGTTCCTGGGTGTCTTGAGGAACATAATTTCTTGATCACCAATTTAAGTATGATGGTGGTGTTTAGGAAAAAGTTATGTTCCCTTTAAAGAAGGGGCTTATTTGCTTTTGCTAATAATCCCAGCCAATACTTACTATGACATGTCTGCTATGTATACCTCCTGACCAAATTCTCAAAACATCTCTTTGAATTACTTCTTTCTTCCCTCATTTGTCGGATGAGAAAACTGAGGCTCAGGAAAATGAAGTAACTTGCCCAAGGACACACAGCTAACACATCTTCTAGTTGCATCTGACCTGTCCCATCAACCCCAAGGCCTGGGTCTACCCAGGACACCACATGCCTCCAAAGGGCCACAGGGTGAAACCACAGGACCCAAAGAGTCAACACCAATCCAAGATTTTCCAGACATCGGGGGGCTGATAGTAGACAAACTTGGCACTAAGCAAGAGGCCCTCAAGTGTCACGGTAGGCATTTCTTAGAATTCTTTGTGTCTTTTGTTTTCATTACCAGCAAGAAATGCTACTTCACAAGGCTGGAAACTTTCAGTGTAATGTAGCTCCTATAAACCCATGTTAACCCAGGAGTAAACAAGGCAGCAACATGCCAGAAAGAAACCTGGGCCCCAGTGCGTGGGAAAACTTCAGAGCAGTGCACTGGGGCACACAAACATCATTGGCTGTTAAAAAGCTCCCCGTGTTGAGTCTTTGGGGTTTACTGCTGCTGTTTCCCTAAATCCAAAGAAAGTGCACATAGAGAGAATCAGGTCAAGTGGGGGAGGCAATGAGTTGGATCTGGCAGGAATGCAAAGCAGGTTGTAGAGACGGCCCCAGAACACGGAAGTTGGGCCATAGATGCATGCAGGGGTCTCACCTGGGGTTGGGGGCAAGCAGGAATCTCCAGGTAGCAATCTTAGTGGTGGTGAGGTTCTGGCAACTCTGCCTGTGGTGCAGCCTCAGGGGTTAGGGACGTCCCCCAGAGGACGGCGAGGGAGACTAGGGGTGTCAGTAGAAGATCCGGGATTCCAGGTTGCCTCCAGCCTGGCTAAGAACTGGCGCATCAAACCGGAAGCAAAGGTGATGCTTTCTCATGCGGACGACGCTGGGTGGGAAGGAAAGGCTGTGGTCTTGTGGCACACGCAAAGTGTGTGGGGTCAGGATCCCCAGCTCCCGGAACCCTCAGCAGAGAGACCAACCTCAGCTCACCAGCTGCTGCCCCTGGGCGGTTGGCGCTTCGCCTGAGTCTCTGGCGCTGGCCCAGCCCCGCAGGCAGAGGCACGGGATGTTGATGCAATATTTGGGGATGGCTGAACCCAAGCAGGAGGTGCAGCCTCTACCCGAGAGGGGGTGCAGGCCAGAGACGAGTGGGAGAGAAGCCTGGAGTCTCCTCTGGCCCACGGGCCCCCTACCTGCCCCTCAGCAGCCTGGGATGACTGGCGAACCCGGCAGAACCCACGTTTACTAGACTCCACAGCTACTGGGAGGGCTACGAGTTTAACCGTAAGGCCTAAATCTCTGCCCGATTTCTGGGAAAGGCGACTCCAGCAGCGCGCCCTGGTGGCCAACCGTGCAGCTCTCAGGTAGGGAAAGACCCGCGGGTTTCCTGCCGCCTGCGGGATCCCCTGCCCAGTCCTGCGAGCGCTGCTCTGCTCTCAGCGCTAGCCAGCAGCAAGGAGCACGGCTGTGACCGCAGCAGAGGGCCAGCGCGTTAGGCGCCACCTCGCAGCTGCAGCTCTTTGGGCTTTTCGGTTCTTTGCGCCGGAACTTAAGCCACGTTCCCTAGGGGCCAGGAAAGAGATTTGGGGCATCCCTTGGTGCAACCCCAGACAGCAGCATTCAGAGAAGATTGGCTACCCTTTATTCAGTAGCTGAATGCTGCCACCTGCGCCTATTATTTTATTCCTTACCACCTCTCCATGAAATAAGTAGTGTCATTAGCCTCTTTTTACTGGTAAGAGCACTGAGGCCTTTTTCTTTCTCTCTCTTTTTTTTACATTGACGTGAAATTCACGTAATATAAAGTGAACCATTTTAAAGCGAACAATTCCGTGGCAATTAATGCATTTACAATGTTGGGCAACCACTACCTCTATCTAGTTTCAAAACATTTTCATCACCCCCAAAAGACACCCCATACACATTAAGCTGTTGCTCCCCATCACTCCACTTCCCCCTGACCCTGGAAACCACCAATCTGTAAATGTCTCTACAGATGTTATTATTCTGTCTATTTCATATAAATACAGTCATACAACACGTGATCTTTGTGTCTGGCTTCTGTTAGTATAATGTTTTCCAGGTTCATCCACCGAATGGAAGCATCAGTATTCCTTTTATGGCTGAATGATATTCCATTATATGGATATAACACATGTTGTTTATCCATTTATTTGTTGATGCACATTTGGGCTATTTTCACCTTTTGGCTATTGTGAATATTATGGCTGTACACATGAGTGTGTGTGTATATATGTATGTGCTGTACACATGAGTGTGTGTGTATATATAGATATATGCTGTACACATGAGTGTGTGTGTATATATGTATATGCTGTACACATGAGTGTGTGTGTATATATATATATGCTGTACACATGAGTGTATGTGTATATATATATGCTGTACACATGAGTGTGTGTGTATATATATATGCTGTACACATGAGTGTGTGTGTATATATATATGCTGTACACATGAGTGTGTGTGTGTATATATATATATGCTGTACACATGAGTGTGTGTGTATATATATATGCTGTACACATGTGTGTGTATATATATATATGCTGTACACGAGTGTGTGTGTATATATATATGCTGTACACATGAGTGTGTGAATATATATATACATACACATATATATATATATATATTTTTTTTTGAGACAGAGTCTCACTCTGTCACCCGGGCTGGAGTGCAATGGCACAATCTCAGCTCACTGCAACACCTCCACTTCCCAGGTTCAAGCAATTCTCCTGCCTCAGCCTCCTGAGTAGCTGGGATTACAAGCATGTAATCTGGCTCTTTTTTTGTTGTTGTTATTGTTGTTGTTAGTAAAAACAGGGTTTCGCCATGTTGGTCAGGCTGGTCTTGAACTCCTGACCTCAGGTGATTCACCTGCCTCGGCCTCCCAAAGTGCTGGGATTACAGGCATGAGCCACCATGCCCAGAGAGTATACATATATTTTTGAAGTGCCAGTTTTCACTTCTTTGGGGAATATACCTAGGAGGGAGTTGTTGGGCCATGTGGCAATTCTATGTCTAACCTTTTGAGGAATCATCGAACTGTTTTTCCTAGTGGCTGTGCCACTGTCTGTTTCTACGAGCAGTTATGAGAGCTCCAGTTTCCCCACATCCTTGCAACGCTGCTTTTCCATTCTTGCCCTATTGCAGTCATCCTAGTGGGTGTGAAGTTGCACTGAGACTTATGTGGATAGGGTGGGTGAGACTGAGAAACCCAAGGCCTATAGTTTGGATAGAAACACACTTTCTGCATGTCTGTCGCTCTTCACTGGCCCTACCGCCTCCCCTTTAGCAGCCCATGCCAGCCCCAACCGTTACTCCATAGAGGTGGCAAACCTTCTTTTCTATACCCTGCCACACGGCGAGCTCCCGGTCATCCTCTTTAGGGCAAATCTCCTCCGTCAGAGGGCGATCATTTTGTCTCTCACCTTAATACCAAGAACCTAACCTTGGAGCCCCAAGTGTCCTTCCCGCGCTCTGCTATGGCCCTGTGTCCATGAACTTCCCTACCCAAGATCAACAGGGTTCCCAGAGCTAAGCACCCACGGGGAGCTAAATATTGGACTAAGTGTCATGGGACAAGCTTCCTGTCCCAGCATAGCCTCTCTCTCTCTGAGGGAGGCAAGGGGACTCCTCTGGTTTCCATCTCAGGGATGCAGTGGTCTGAAGTGAAGGGCAGTGCCGTCTTCTTCCATTGTGGGCCTTTGGAGCACTGACCCCACACCAGAGCATAATGGGAAGATGTCCACAACACAGTCCTCAAATGCCTTCCTCCCTCCCCCTCCTCCTTCAGGCTCTCTCTATCCTTACGGTCTGAGCAAAGCCCATCTCTTCCTTGGAGAGTTATCCACGTGCCCCAGACCCTAGAGTTTCCTCCCTGCCCTGACCGCCCACAGCCCATGTAAGCCCCTTCCTGGGCTCTTAGCAAGGAGCTTTATCCCCTTGACTAGGACTGGGGTGTGACCAGCCTGTGAGGGTGACAATTAGACCTTCCTCAAAACTCTGAGGGTTATGGAAAAAGCCACTCAGAGATGAAATGAACACCCACAGAAAGGCCAGGTTCAGTGGCTCATGCCTGTAATCCGAGCACTTTGGGAGACCAAGGTGTGTGGATTGCTTGAGGCCAGGAGTTGGAGACAAGCCTGGGCAATATGTCAAGACCTCATCTCTATAAAAAAACACAAAAATTAGCTGGGTGTGGTGGTGTGCACCTGTAGTCCCAGTTACCTGGGAGGATTGCTTAAGCCAAACAGTGGAGGTTGTAGCGTGCCACCCAGGGCTATAGAGCAAGACCCTGCCTCAAAAAAGAAAAATAAAACATGTCTGCAGACATCATCTAGCAATCCAGAGGCATGCCACATGAAGAGCAGGAAGAGCCTGGAAACCCAATTAGGTTTTGCTGATGTGAAAGAAGACATGGCCTAATCACATGTGGCCCATGTATCTGAAGGAAAAATGTGGTCACAAAATAATGGGGTGGCGTAGGGCCTGGAACAGGACCTCCAAAAAGCCAGTGTGGAGCTCAGCACCACCCCCTCATCTCAGCTCCTGAGCCTGCTCCTGCTCTTCTGCTCCCAGCCCCATCAGCCAACTCCCATTTATCTTATTTCTTTCCTAAATAACTTTTCTTTTTTAACTCTTACGGCAGCACTGTGCAGTATGTACTAGCGTTATCCGTCTTTCACAGGTGGTTATCCTAATCCACAGAGAAATTAACGAAGAAAGTGTGTCCACCTCAGCTAGCCGCAGGACAGCTCTCCTAGTAAGGATCCTGGCGTGAGCCTAAGCTGTATCTCTCACTGGAGAGGTCATACATGAGCCAATCTGCCTACCGGGCTGGTGGGTGGGGCCCCAAGTGTGCCCACTGCTGAGTTAGTGGGCATGGGTGCCTGGAGAGGGTGCCCCAGCCCTTCCATTCCCAGAAGCCAGCCTCAGGCAGGAGGAACTGTTCTCAAGTGGTACTGCCACCCTGTGGACCAGGTGGGTACTGCATAAGGACAACCAGCCAAGGGGAAGCAGGAGCTGAAACCCAGCCTAGACTCGGCTCACCCAAGAACTCGCGCTGCACAGCTGCAGCCACCTGGAGAGAGAGACACCCTTGTTTACCAAAAGATGCCCTCCGTTCTTTGAGCGTTCAGGGGTATATCTGCCCAGAAGGACTCACGCAAAGGTGGCAGGAGGGTGTTTCAGCTCTGGGTTTGTGCGTGACCCCAGGGCTCAAGCAGCCCAGCAAGGTAACTGGTACACAAGGAGACGATGTGACAGAAGGAAATGAGAGAGCCATGCACCGGGATTCTTGAAGCTGGGGGCTCTGGTCCGCAAGGCTGACTACTCTGGGGACACAGAGGCATGAATATGCACATGCCCACGGCAACCCGAGGCGCCTGGGCAGCCCTGTGGGCACTGAGCCATATTCAGCTGCAGGACACAATTCGCATGGAGCTGGGGCTGCTGGAGCTTCAGTTGATTTACAAACTCATGTAGGATGCTGCCTGGAATGTTCACACCTGGTTAGGTGACATCCTCCAAGAGTAGGCACAAGAACTAGTGGCATCAGTGAGAATGCAGCTGCACGTGCACCCTCAGGCTGTGGGTGCTCCAGGGACCCCCGGCCAGGCTGACGCGGATGTCAGGTGGGTTACATGCTGCACAAGAGCCTCTGGCTGATCAGGGACTGCAGGCCAGCTTGTGCTCTGCTGGCCAGGCTGTGCTCCCCAGCGTGAGGCTGTGTCTACCCAAGAAAGAGACATCTTTTGCTTCCTCCCTTCCTTCCTTCGTTCCTTTCTTCCTTTTTTTTTTTTTTTTTGAGATGGAGCTTCACTCTTGTTGCCCAAGCCAGAGTGCAATGGTGTGATCTCGGCTCACCGCAACCTCCGCCTCCCGGGTTCAAGAGATTCTCCTGCCTCAGCCTCCCAAGTAGCTGGGATTACAGGTGTGTGCCACCATGCCTGGCTAATTTTTTGTATTTTTAGTGGAAACAGAGTTTCACCATGTTAGCCACTGCTGACCTCAGTTGATCTGCCCGCCTCAGCCAACCAAAGTTCTGGGATTACAGGTGTGAGCCACCTCGCCTGACCAGGGATATCTTTTTCTAAACACATAAAGGCACTTTCTGGGCTAGGAGGGCTCTGCTCGGGTGCACAGGGGTGCAGAGGAGAAGGAGGCCCAGGGCTGACCCAGACTCTTCAAAACCCTGGTTCCGGCGGGCTTCTGGTTGACTTTTTTAAAAATCTTGTGCTTGTTGCTTGGAGTATTTATTGTAAGCTGATAAGTAGCTTATCAGCT